GGGCCAGTCACAGACTCTCAGCCCAACCTACTTTGCTGGGCTGTTGTTGTGCGGATAAAATTGAGAGGAAGCAAATAAAATTTATAAATTTAATACATAATAGATTTATATGTTATGTAAGCTGTTCTGAGTTCCTTGAGAGGAACAAGATAGGGTATAAATATAATAAATAAATAAATGCTTGGACATTGAGTCCATGTCCCAACTGTGTTGGACAGTTATGCATTACTATTTGGTGTCTTTTATGGAGCTCTGCGAATTGTTTACTAATGGGACCTTACCTGAAATCATGCCTGACTGGATTATTAATAGAATAATAGAAAGGGGTTGATAAATTAGGAAGAGCTATAGTGAGATGGAAAATAGTGAGATGGCTGAACTCAATGCTCTGCATGCTTTGGAGAATGATCCTAGGCATCCTACCCTCCATGTCCCTCCCATCTTCCCCTGGATGCCCATAATCCTCTGGGTTTGGGGGATTATGGACAGCCACATCAGAGAGCACCCTAAGGTATTACATGTTCCAATAATTGCCTTGCTGCTTCTATATGAAAAGCTTTGCTTATTCAATCAAAATAGATGAGCCTTAAATTGCTACTAAGTCCTCCCCCATTTCTCTCAAATTCGATATGTGCAGTGTGCAATTTCCCTTCCTTCCCCATTCTCTCAGTAATTACTTCAGATTCTTTCCGTGTTGTAACTAATCTGCCTCTGTTACTAAATTGTCATTATTACTATCACAGTTATTATGCTCCATTTCCACTTGCTTCACCCTCCTCCCTGGAGATACTGATAATATATCATCATCATGTCCTAGGAGTCCAGACAATAGCTTTCTTGAAGTCCTTTGTAATAGCAAACAAGTTCTGTAGAGGTTGTGGGGAGGGGGGATGTAGGGAATCATAAGAACAACTATCTAACGGGACACGTGTGGAGACAGCAATTACTACAGAACTTGGATCCTGACAACATGTTTTGTATGGGTTGAAATGGAAACGTACCAATGATTATCAAGAAAGGGCCAAGCAAGTGTCCGGCGGGGAGGTGTAATTCAATCCAGAATCCTAGGAAAGTTCAAGCAACAACAGAAAGGCCTACAATGCTCCTAGCATGTCCCAGCCAGAACAGAAAGGCAGTGTGGTTGGCTGAGACATACTGGGAGTTGCAAGTCTCTCTTCTGTCTAAACCTGCCTAGGATTACACCCGAACTCTCTTCGCTCCTGGACTTTTGCTTTTTACGTTGGATTATAAAGCAAATATTCTGAAGATAATGCATACTTTAAGGCAGGCTACAGGTTTGCAGGATCTGTTTTGCACCCCAAATTCCACTAACGAGCCAGGCACAAAAGACACGTATGTACTTAAAAGAAAGCTCACATTCTTCCCATACAAAAGTCAGCGGTACAACTGGTAGGGCAGGGCATGGGGGAGGTATCTGTCATTTTGTGCCTATTGTTCGCAATACTTAGAGGGAGAAATCCTAGCCAATCCACCAAAAGAGCTACCAGTAAATCCAGGTATGTTTCTCCTCAAAGACCACAGTGTTATCTGAACACTTGGGAAAAAGCCACACTGAATTCAAGGAGATTTATTTTTGAGTTGACATGCATAAGATGTCAAAGCTGTGATACTATACTATATTATGTTATACTGTATATTTATTAATGCTTTTACATACTACCCTTCTTCCAAAGTGCACATTATTAGAGGATAAGTGCCATTGAACTCAGTGAGATTTGCTTCTGAGTCAACATGCTCAGGATTGCACTGCAGAAATGTTTGGCACATAAAATAACTCGATTCTATTTCAGCCAGGTTCAAAGCCAGTGTGGTGCAGTGGTAAAGCATTAGACTGTGGCTTGGGAGATCCTGTTCTCATCTGCACTTGGCTGTGAAGCCCAGAGGGGGTTGTGGGCCAGTCACCAGCTCTCAACCTCCCCTCCTCACAGGGTTGTTGTCCTGAGGAGAAATGGAAATGAGCAGGAGGATTGTGTAAGCCATTTTGGGTTCGGCTGCAGGAAAAAATTGGGTATAAATAGATAAATAGACCAAGTTTTTCTCTCTGTATGGATTGATGGTGTTTGCAAGCCAGCTAGGGAACTTCCCAGAAAGTCTTTATTTGGAAGGTTTCAAAAGAAACAGTAAGGAAGATGGACTGATGAGCAGTAATTAAGTGAATAATTAAGTCCCCGGTGGCAAGGAAATCTAATGGCAGAAAAGAGCATTCTTGAGAATGATTCTTGATGGAAATTATTTGTTTTAGTCTGGGTTTTTAGTGCATCTGGCACCTGCACCCCACATGGCACTTGGGCGCATGCTGATCCCCTGTGCTGAATGTTTCCTGCTTGTCCAAATAGCAGATGAAGGGGTTGGTGAGACCAGGATGTGACACACATTTCAAACTGGGCTTGGCAAAGGCTGGCTGTGTATACCTTCACACCACCTTGAGCATCATTTCTGGTACTAGTTCTCATATCTAGTTTTCTGCTTAAATCGCTCTTCCGATTTTTGTTGTCCTGCTATTGGAGGTTGGGCATCATCATGGCTAGACTTTAGATGTGCGTCTACCCATTATGCATACACTCCAAAAATATAACATGGTGGTTTGCCATTGCCTTCCACATCACAGTGCTACGACCTATTAGAATGGGTTTCATCTCGCCTGCAGTTTTGCATGCTGAAGGCCCCCAACATCTCTGCCTTGTCTTGGGCTCCAGTCAGTTGCTGCCCAAGATCAGGTGGAATTTAGAGGTGATTTAATTCCTGAAGGCTCCACTACCCAAAAACATGGATCTTCCCAGGGGCTGGGTTATTCATCTCCACTCGAGCTTTTGCGTAGCTCAGGTATTTGTTGGTATACTGCTTACCATTGCCAGTGTATCAAGCTATCCGCTGGTTGTCTGTAATCTTGATCCAATGCATTCGTCATTTTTTGAACTTTGGGGTAAACTTCTGTCACCAAGAAGGAGAGAACCTATCTGAACACTGCACACTCTGATATGAAAAGCCTGCAAAATGCTGCCAGAAGGGGGCAGACACTTACATAATATGCTCAACCAAGTTGCTTTGTTGAAGATTAGAACAAAACAGTGTTTATTTTTCGCTTGAATCAGAAAGAAGGATACTTTGGTCCCTCTCCCCTGCATGCCCAGAAACCTGCCTTCCTGTCGCTCTGCCTTGTCAAGTGTCTGACTCAGGAGATGAACACATCAGTGGGATGCTAAAGCAAAGGGCAGAGACAAGATAGAAATGGGGAGTTCAGTGAGCTTTGTGCCACCTCTCAAACCCCGGGACACTTTCCATTCTCAGTGAGCTCAAGGTCCTGTGTTGGAAATGAAAACTGGATCTTCAGAATGATAGGCCAGAAAGGGGCCAAAGGAGAGATTGTTCCTTCCATTGAAGACCTGCTCTGTTCTGCTCACAGAAGCTCCCCATTTCAGCCCCTAGCGCCTCCAGGTAGGGCAGGAGAAACTCCTTCCTGAAACCCTGCAGAGCTTCAGCTGCCAGTCCATGTGGACCATACTGGGCTACATGGACAAAGAATCTGATTTGGTGTGTGGCCGCCTCCTATGTTCTTACCGCATTTCTAGTGGGCCTGATGGCCTGATGATGCAGAACTAAAGACTCCCATCTGAGCAAACCATTTCCTCCCCATTATGGACAGCCATCAGTATGCTTGGGGGGCACCTCTGGGGATAAGCATTGCAATCAAAGCATGTTGTTTCATGGAAATGGAGTTCAATGGGACTCCGCATTACATGTGTTCAGGACTGCAGCCAAACAGCTGCTCTCTGGAGGCATTTAGCATCTATTCCCAAACTGCCTAGAAAAGAAACGCCAGAAGGCGGGGGAGCAATGAATTAAGGATGCGCAGGACAAGTCCAAATTTGGCTAGCTTAACTACTAGCCCAATTGTACAGGGTCCTCTTTTTAAATCCATACCTAAACTGGACATAAGTGCTGACCATTGTCAGAAAGCAAACAAAATATATTTGGACCACTGCAATGATTTCTTTTCAGTCCTCCATGCAGAAGAATCTTTGTCACCCAGGACTGAAAGGAAGGAACAGGATAACAGGAGCACAGGTGACATATTGTGCATTCTGATGCTGGGCCTCCAAGAGTCATACAACCTCCTAGTTGCTACTTGGCAGCTGTGCAAGCAAATATCCACCAGAGACTGCCAAAAGCTGAAGAACTGACCCACTGGTTTAATTCTGCATGTGAAAGGCAGCCCAGAACTGAGCTTATCAAGGTGTGCCAATGATCACGGCAAGCGACAACTTTGCCCCACATTTCCTCTGGGGATAAAATCCCAGAAGAAGAGTGCTTCGGAGCAGTAGTTCACAGGCAGGAACTGACTCCAGGCAGTTGTACAAAAAGCTGTTTGGAAAACTGAATGAGAGTGGAATTCTGCAAGACTGTTATCCCATACTCTTGGGATTGATAGGAGCCAAGAATGGAAACCTCTCCTGCAACTTACTCTTTCCTCAGCGCTCTGCTTCCCAACCTCCAGGTTCCAGCCTCACCTCACTAATGTTCTAAAATTCCTAGCAGGAGTTCTGGCAGTGAATGCCTCTACCAGCAACACTTACAGCTGGTGATAGACCATCAAAGGTGACAGGACACATCATTTCTCACTGCATGGATGCTCACTCCCCTGCTGCCTTCCTGCATAGGTTTTGCAAATTCGTGTGATGCTTCCAAAACCTGTAAAACCTGTTTGACTGCTGATACTGGTGAAGCAAAAGGAACACAGAAAGCAGTGCTTCTCTCTTACCCCCTTCCACTCTCTTAAAAACTATTGCCTGTCACCAGCCTAAAATTAGCTGCAAAAGATGCTGTTTTACGAATGATGGCAGAAACGAGACATGCTAAATCTCAGCCACAGAGTGAAAAACAAGCTCTTCACATGCCACTTGTAAGTCTTCTGACAAATGAGAAAAGCACCCCCCTCCCCTAATTCTTGCTGGATAACGAATAAAAGAAAAGCCACTTACCCGAAGTTACTGCTTCATTGCTGTGCCTGACCCGTCTTTGTTTATGCCTTTCCACTCTTCTTCCACTGTCTGCAATCTTGTGGTGACAGAGATAAAAGCACTTTCTCAAAGTAACACTTTGAGAGAAAAGCCTCCCAAATTACAGAGTTGCCCTTGTCCCTGGCACCGGGCGCATTCTTGAAGGCAGAGTTGATGAGCCAGGCTTTGAATTCTGAAGGTGGCTGACAATCAGTTCCCTACCCCACAAAGCTGGATGCTCCGTTAGATACTGAGTGAGGCAAAGAGGGAGAGGGGAGCGTGTTTAGCGAATGGGAAGGCAGAGGGAGAGAGAGAGAGAACGGGAGAGGGAGAGGGAGAGAAAGAAGCGGGAGAGCCAACGCTTGCATTGGAGAGCCAACGCTTGCATTGTTTAGCCGCGGCAGGGCTCCTTACCTCGATGAAATGTCCTGTGATGACCATACTGGTTTCCCTCCCAGTGCAATACAGGTTCCAGGCAGTACAATGGGCACCGTCCTTGGGGCACCAGCCAGGGGTTCAGCTGATCAATGCGATGCCCGCCTGTGGCACTCGGCAGCGAGGTAGCCCTGGGCATATCCTTTTCTTGCTGCTGTGACTCATGTGCAATGATACAGTGTTTAAATAGTAGGGCTTATCCTTTCCTATGCATACCTGCAATAGCACGGTTAGGTCTGCTGCACTCACTTACTGTACGCACTTACCGCCAGAAAGTCTGTTGTTTGGGGTAGCCGTGGCGCTTGCATCTTGCAGCATTCTCAAAATAACTCGTTTCATTGCTTGGATTATTTCATGTTTGCACCATGCACTTCAGAGCCCCGTGGCCCCTTTGGGATATTATGCTATGGCTTTGATTCGCTGCACACTTACTGGGAAGAACTCTCATTGAACTAAGAGGACTTACATGCAAGTAGCTGTGCAAAGGGTTGGGCTGAAAGCGCAACGCCCTTTCGTCTTGGAATAACGCAGCTGCACGAATGATGCGAAGTGCCATATATACTCACCACCCCTCCCAAAGAAAGGCACAGAAGACCAAACTTGGATGTCTTATGAGCATCGAAGGGTTCCTGTCATAAAATTAGCAATAAAGAGATAAAATACCAGTCATATAATAATTCATTTACACACACACACACACACACACACACAGAGGACCATTCCATAATAAACTATAGAGGTGTTAACGGTCAATGCATTCTGATTCACTGACAATACAGCAGAAATCTCACTCTCAAAAAATGTACATGCACCTATATCCCTTCCTCACCATTTTCAGAGCTACATTATTGCAAGAGAATTTCTATGGATGGCACTTTTTTCCATTAGAGGCTCACTAAGGGCCTGATGAGGTTCAGCATCATGTCTGGCAATGAGGAAGGTGTGAGTCAGCCAGCTGCATGGTTGGCACCAGTAAGCATGAAGCTGTATCCTAAAATCACCATCAACTTTTACTCCACATCAAATTTCGAGGTGCACTGGGGGCTCCTAGAGCAAACCGGCTTGTGCATTTTGAGAGAAATGGGAACAAAGGAAAGACTAGCAACATTTCTTAAGGGGGTTCTTGATGCTCTTAATCTCAGTGTCTTCTACTGGGAATGGGTGGGATGGGATGGAAAGACTTGGCCACGCAACACAGACTTGGCCAGGGTTGAAAGCAAACATGCTGTCAGTGGATCTTCAGCACCAGCTCTCCTTTAGATATGAGCAATGCAGCTGGGTCCCCTGTTACCCTGGCCAGAGGAGGCACTGGTTCTAAACCTGATCCAGATCAGGCTCGAATCCTGATCCAGATAGAATGGATCTGCAGCGTGGGGCCCAAGCACAAAAAGCTGATTTCTACTCGGTGAAACATGAACCACAAATACAGCTTCAAGCTGAATTTCTGTCCATCGCACAGGACAAATCTTTACACAAAGATGCATCTGAAAAGGATTTGTGAGCACCCTTAATTTCTGGTTCAAAGTGGCTCATTGCTGGAGGTATTCTGTGTGTAGCAAGAAACTAGATTGTTCAACAGAGAAAAGAAAGCAGCGGCATGTTCGAAATACAATTATCCTTCCTTCCAGTACATCAAGATCCCTTTTCTAGGCACCTGCAGCTTCCAGCCATTCAGTAAATGAGCATATGTAGTGAATGTAACCAAGCATAGCCATGCCTGTTCATTGACTAGGCAAGCTGTGCCCAGAAGTCTCTGGCGGGCACTTTATACATTACCTATGGCCACATTTGTTGCTAATCAGGACTGCTTTGAGACTGGTCAGGCTTGCAATGCACTTGCACAGCTCCCAGCCACTCCTCCAGGCGACTTCATTGCGAGGCTTTCAAGCACAGGGCTCCGCATGCCCCAGCCGAGCGCACATGCCTTTCAGGCACAGGCAGCCATGCTTCCCATCTGGCAATATCTGGGTTGCGCAGTTCCGTGCCTGTGCTCTGCTTCTATTCATCTGGCAGCCTGCTTGGAGGTAAGCGTCTTGCTAAAGGCATGGATGTCCTTGCACGTTTGTTCCAGTCTGGGGGATTCAGGATACACTGCAGTTTAATTATCCTAACTATCTACACGGTTCGACAAGAAAATAAATATGCGCAGATCATTTCTTCAACAGATCTGCCACATCCCATTCTGCTGTCAGAAGAATAGAAGTTTACAAACTCAGAGTTCTTGTTTTCTACACTGCAAATGGCAGATATGTTGCATTAGGGATCTGTGAGAATTTGGTTTCAGTTTGTAAATCATCCATACTTGCCCCATTTACAACCCCGAACACAAACACTAAAAATATAATATACAAGGTGTGATCATGCTCGAAAAATGTGTATTTAAAAATGCATACTCTGAAACACTTTTAAAATGCATTTAGGTGCCATCCAGTGTGGCTGCCGGTAAAGCTCTGAACTTGGATTTACAGGCAGCCCAGTAAACCTGGGCATCCATGGCTCTGCACTGCTCCCACCCTGCAACTGACATAGATAGCCAATTTTGGCCATGTCTTTCACCCCTGCTCCTCAGGAGTAGGGGCTCGGGCACCACGAGGGTTCTTTGCAGCCCACCAGAGACTTACTCCTTCCCACTCCACCCGCTGGAGTGCTGTTCCCCATGCAGGTTCCAGATTTGCACCTGGCCCTGCAGAGCTGCGGCTGGCATGAGAAGAACTGGTCCAGCTGCTCGGGAAACTCCAACATCAGAGTCCTTCCACTGACCTCCAAACACATTCCCAAAACCAGAGTCGTAACACCAGCCTATGCTGTGGCTGTTTACACATTTGCACCCTTCCACACTTTAGTCCAGAGGAAAAATAGATCCTTGTGAAAAATGCACACAGAAATGAGCACCTGTCCCATTCAAAATGGATACTTTTCCCATTACTGAAAATTATAAAGTTGCACGTGAAAATGGGAGCAAGCCAAGCAAAGTCGAATTCAGAGAATTCCCGTGAGCTCAAACATCCCTGGTTTTCCCATGCCTGTGCCACATAGGGCACTTGTAAGAAATAGCTGGCCTCTCTGTGTGCTCTAGGTGACCCTGCATTTGGAAACGGGTAGTGGCAATTCAGCCTATGGAGTCCCCAGCACAGAGTTCTATCCCAGCATTAGTAGCCATTAATACATCGCGCCATTGGAGCAAATTCAGTCTTGCAAGATGTTGATTTGCTAGGTTTGGGATATTGCTTTATTTTCAAGGAGTGGTGCAGGAGAGCAAGAAGGGATGATGGAACCATTTATCTTCTTTAAAGTTTTATTTTTTCTTTTACACATGCCACTAAAAGGGCATTTGAGCTTTTCTGGCTTGATTTGTTTAGTTGCATAACTTTCCTTAGTGGAAGCAAAAGGAGTGAAAACTATCATCATCCAATTCAGGTTTAACTTTCAAATTACAGATGTGGAAACTACAAAAGTTAGGCCTTATTTGTGCCTTGTAAGTTGAGGACGTCTCTCTACTGTCTGCAGTTTCATTAAACTGTTTGCATTCTTTGACCCCTGAAGACTACAGTACAGGCAGGGTCTAATCTTGACACCTAGCACAGGATTTGTTCTCATCAGAATCTTTATTTTTGTTTTAAGAAGCAAGTTTCCAGTATTGATGGCTTCAGGGAAAGTCTGAGAATGCTTGGGAAACATCTGGCTAAAGCTAAAAAGCAAGCAAGAGGTCAGCCGAACAGAAGTTCCAGTGAGATGGAGAGAAGGACTCCCTGCACACGTCCTTCACACAGTATCCTTCCCTTTTCTTTTCCCTCAACCCATCCAAACTCTTTGGACATCTGAATCAAAGGAGTGGAATAAATTTTGCATAATAAGCCAAGTAGAGGGAAATTTGTTTGACTTCCACAAGTTGGTCCTGATCAAACAGACAGATTTTCTTGGTTTCAATACATGAACATTTATTTTAAGGTGTTAGCTAATTAAATGGTGTTTTGATAGTAATTAAATATAAAATCCGCATAATCTCAAAAGTTCAGTATTAGCATCTCTTTAAATGTGGAACACTGGGCAGCTCTATATTAATTCATGTCTTTGGGGGTAGGTAAATTCCATCCTAGGTTAGTAAAATAATTTGCTAATGGGATCTCCAAGCCTATGTTTATAAATTTTGAGAATTCTTGGAGAGCTTGTGAAGTGCCAGAGGACCAGGCATGAGGAAGGTGGTGGTGGACTCGTCTTCATTAAATGTTATTAAGCAGAGCATGGATGACCACTTCCACCCTCTGGAAGGAGCGTGTGGCAGTTGATTTCCTGCAGTACTGATGATTTAGATTAGTCTCACTGAGCTGCCTTCCAAATTGGGCATTGCTGCTTCTTTTTTGTGCAAGACAATAGATCTTGAGCATGGATAGCTGGGCCAAAACAAATTTCAGTAGGGATAATTGTAAAGTTTTGCATTTACATAGGATCAGTCAGGTATGCAATTGTAGATGGAGGGTCACCTGGCCTGACCTAGGAGTATTAGTAGAGTCAATAGTACAATGTAGCTGCGAAAAAGGCTAAGACAATTCCATTACACATCAACAAAACATAGTGCCTTGGTTGCAAGAGATGATCTATTCTGCTTTGGCCAGTCTTCTTCTAGCATCCTGCATCCAGTTCTAGGCATTGCAGTTTAAGAAAGATACTGACAAACTAGAACATGTCCAGAGAAGGGCAACAAAGATGGTGAGGGCTTGATGACTAAGGGCTATGTTATGAACCATACCAAGACGTCTGCGATGGGACGGTATACAAGAAATGTAAATAAATAGATAAAATAAAGGCCTTTTGGGAAAGGTT